TGGACTTTTGTTGTAGGTTTGTTGTGGGGATTGGATGTATTATTGTGAAGGAAAATATCCCTGGGCATTTTGGTTTATAATTTGAGTGTATTGGGGAACATAACGGGGACCATGCTGGGTGTGTTTTTGGACACTTATTTTCGGCATTGTAAAATAGGAAGAAAGGGAAATTGTGGCTTGGTTTTCTTTGGATTCCTGGGAATGGATTGTGAAGTGCTGGGATTGGTTATTAATGTGGTGATGGGTTGAGGGTAAGTATGGTTAGGGTGCATGGTTTGATGATGATTTCATTCCAGAGGGGGTCATAACACTTGGACATTATTCCACTGATTTCCTTAAGGACTTGAGGGTGATTTGTGGTGCTCTGGGATATATCAAAGGTCTTCGTTCTTGGTCTTCGTTTAGCTCTTGCTCTTATCTTCGTTCTTCGCCTTGTATATTCAATGTTTGACTTGATGTTTCGTTTGATTAGAACTCGAAGGAGAGTTCCAAGCGTTCTGTTGGTGACCTCGGTTACTCTGTCAGTTTGCGGATGGCTAGTAGTGCTGAATTTGAGCTTTGTGCCTAGCTTTCTCCACAATGTCATCAGAAAATGGCTAAGGAATTTGGGATCCCTATCAGAAACCATGCTACGAGGTAAGCCATGGAGTTTAACGACCTCTCGGAAGTAGAGATCGGCTACTTGGGAAGCATCGTATGTAGTAACGCAGGGAATGAAATGGGCCATCTTTGAGAATCTATCCACAACCACCATTATGGAATCCTTGCTTCGTTGAGTTCGGGGCAGCCCAGTAATGAAATCTAGGCTAACATCTTCCCACGGGGCGTACGGGACGGGTAAGGGTAAGTGCATTCCTTGGGGTAGGGCTTNTTCAACAATGGCCATTATCTTCTTGTTGGGACATTCATTGGCAAAATGCCCTATGCCTTGGCAACGAAAACATTTGGGAGTCCGGGTGTTTGTTTGGGCTGTTTTGAATGGGGGTGGATTGGTGGACGTAGACGGGATAGAGTTGGGTTTTGAGTGGGTATTTTGAGCAGGGGTGTTTGGAGTTATCTTTGAGGTAGTTGGAGGGGTTTTGGAAAAGGGTGAAGTACGGAAAAATGAGGTTTTGTTTCTCTTAAGTTGGGACTCAACTTTGAGAGCCAGCTTAGAAAGCTCTTCAAAGGTATCATAAGGTTGCAGCTCTACTACATTAGCTATTTGAGTGTTTAATCCAAATAGGTAACGTACCAATGTTTGTGAATCATTTTCGTGAAGATCACATCTCATCAAAAGTTCTTCAAACTCCCGAGTATAGTCCTCAACTGAGCGGGGACCTTGCCTTAGGTGTTGAAGTTTGGAAAAGTTGTCCCGTACATATTGTTCGGGTAGGAACTTCTTCTTCAACAAGCTCTTCATCTTGAGCCAGGTCTTCACAGGGGCCTTATTCTCTCGCCTTCTTTTGGTGGATAGGTTGGACCACCAAGTGGAGGCATACTTCCGAAACTTCAATGCCACAATCTTGACCTTTTTTTCTTTGGGCACATCTTTGAAATCAAAGACGCGCTCAACAGTTTCCAGCCACTCTAGAAAGTCATCCGGATCGTTCTTCCCTTCAAAGGTTGGTATGTCCACCTTGAAATCGGTAGCTCCTCGTTCATGATTCTCCTCTCTAGTGGTATTACTAGAGTTAGCTTCAGGGTGAACTTCTTCGTCTTCTTCACTTTCCTCCGGGTATTCACCATGCTCATCTTGAGCTTAGTGAGTTGGGCAACTTGCTTGGCCAAGTACTTAACTTGGGCCTTGAGAGCAGCATTGGAGGCTAGGAGTTCTTCGTTGGACAGGTTGTTGGAAGTGTTTGACATGATGATAGTAAGGGAGAGAGAGTAAAGGAAATGGAAAGGAAAGAAAAGGGGAAGTGTGTTGTATGGACTCAGGGAATGCTTAACAACAAGCTTTGATACCAAATGTTATATCTAAGCTCAGGGTTTTATAGTTTCAGACTCTTTATTTGCAGGGAAAGGAAGATAATCGATTGTCCTAAGTGGATAATTGATTATTGAAGGCTTCAGGTTCTAGGTAGTTTTCTGGGAATTCTCTGAGAAGGGCGATAATCGATTGATGGGGGAGTGACAATCGATTATTGAGAATTGCAGGTTTCTGGGAAAAGCTGATAATCGATTATCTGAAAGTGATAATCGACTATTGAAGACTGCGGGTGTTTTACGAAGGATAGATAATCGACTTCTACTACTGATAATCGATTACTCGACAGCTCGAGACAGGAAAAAAGGTATTTCTTTGGGAAGGGGAACAAGCCAAGTTGGTGTTAAGAGATGTTACTCACCCTTATCTTAACTTGAGGTTGAATCTAGCATTAAAATAAGATATAACACACTTATTTAAATAACTAGAACCTAAAACTCACACTCAAGAGAACCACTCTTAAGATATAGGATTAGGAATTTGGAATGAAACACACAAGTGAATCACTTTGATTAAAAGGGGAATACAATGTGTTTCTACACCCAGGCCTATTGCTGAATATATAGGATTACATTGGAGGGAAAGAGGGAAAATACAACTCACTCAAAATAATGCCCATGTGCTTATGTTTCTTAAGTGGAATGAAATCAGGGATATGGGT